ATGGTTGTAGACAACTAAGGAAATGATGTGTTGCATATTAACTCTTCCAATAGTTTGGACAAAGCATGCTTATGGCATTGTTGTCTTGGACATGTCAACAAGAAATGTATAGCCCAACTAAAAAAGGATGGAGTGTTGGAGTCATTCGACCTTAGGGACCATGATGTGTGCGAGTCTTGTTTACTTGGAAAGATTACCAAGTCACCCTTCACTAGTACTTGTGAAAGGGGTGAGGGTTTATTGGATCTCATACACACCGATGTGTGTGGGCCCTTTAGATCCACCATAAGGGATGCAAGCTGGTTCTATATGACTTTCACGATGATTATAGCAGATATGGGTATATCTACTTAATCAAGCACAAGTCAGAAACCTTTGAAAAGTTCAAAGAGTTTAAGTAAGAAGTGGAGAATCAGTTGGGCAGGAAAATTAAGATGCTCTGATCCGATCGAGCTGGTGAGTACCTTAGTCTTGAATTCCACGACTACCTCAAGGAATGCGAAATTGTTTCGCAATTAACGCCGCCTAGGACACCGCAGTTGAACAGTGCAGATGAGAGGTGTAATCGAACCTTGATAGACATGGTTTATTCCATGATGAGTCGGGTTTCGTTACCTATATCATTCTGGGGGTATGCCTTAGAGAATGCCGCCCATATCCTTAACTTAGTCCCTACAAAGAAGGTTGCCAAAACACCGCACGAGACGTGGAAAGGGAAAACTCCCTCATTGGCACATATAAAGGTTTGGGATTGCGAGGCTTTCGTAAGACGAGAGACTCACGACAAGCTCGAACCTCGTAGTGAGCAGTGTATTTTCATCGGCTACCCTCAGAAGTCCTTTGGAAATCTCTTCTATAGACCGAGTGACAATATTGTCTTTGTTGCGAGGAGAGGAGTTTTCTGAGAGCGAGAATTCATAAGCCAAGGGGACAGTGGGAGGAAAATTGATCTTGAAGAGCTTCAAGAATCAAGTAATGAAGGAACCCCTAACACTGGTGCTCAACCTGAGGAGGAAACTCTTGTTGAACCGGTTGACGAGTCCCTAACTCTTAGACGTTCAAGTAGAGTTAGTGTTCCACCAGAGTTTTATGGTTTTCATATTACTACCGAAGGTGATACGTTTATTAGTGATTGTACACTAGTAAATTTGGATGAACATAACATCTACAAGGAAGCCAGGCAGGCCCGAAATCTGCGATGTGGAAAGAGGCTATGGACAACGAGATTTAGTCCATGTATGACAACCAAGTTTGCAATTTGGTTGACAATGTTCCGGGTCGTAAGACGGTCGGTGCAAGTGGATCTTCAATAAGAAGACCGACATGGATGGGAAAGTGCACACTTATAAGGCGCGATTGGTTGTGAAGGGCTTTACTCAAGCTCCTGGAGTTGACTATGATGAGACCTTCTCACCAGTTGCGAAGATAAAGTCTATAAGGGTTATGCTAGCCATAACTGCATTTCGTGATTATGAAATATGGCAGATGAACGTCAAAACCACTTTCCTTAATGGGAAGTTGGCTGAGGATTTTTACATGAGTCAGCCATAAGGTTTTGTCAGTGTGAAACACCCTAATAAAGTGTGTAAACTTGAGAAGTCCATTTATGGATTGAAACAAGCATCTCGCAGATGGAAACTTTGTTTCGATGAGAAAGTCAAAGATTTTGGCTTCCTGCAAAGCGAGGATGAGTCTTGTGTATATGTCAAATCCAGTGGGAGTATAGTTAGCTTCCTTCTATTGTATGTCGATGACATACTGCTCATTAGAAATGACATCCCAACCCTACAGGAGGTTAAGTCTTGGCTTAGGAAGTGCTTCGCTATGAAGGACCTCGAAGAGGCTGCCTATATTTTGGGAATAAGGATAGTGAGAAAAAGGAGTAAAAGGCTAATAGGACTTAGTCAGAATACTTACTTTGAAAAGGTACTAAAACATTTTAGTACGGAGAATTCCAAGAAATGGGAGTTAACGATCCAAACCAATGCCAAGATGAGGAAGACTCAAAGTCCGAGTACCGAAGCCGAGATAGAAAAGATGATCCGAGTACCTTACGCTTCCACAGTTGGCTCAATCATGTATGCTATGACTTGTACTCGCCCTGATGTGGCCTTCACTTTGAGCATGGTCAGCAGATATCAAGGGAACCCTGGCAGAGCACATTGGACTGCAATCAAGAATATTCTTACGTACATTCGGAGGACCAGAGAATGGTTTCTTGTCCTCGGTGGGAGTGATGAATTAAGGGTGTGAGGGTATAGTGACGCCAACTTTTAGACCGACCGGGACAACTACCGTTCGCAGTCGGGCTAGGTCTTTACCCTTAATGGAGGAGCAGTGACTTGGAAAAGTTCCAAATAGGAGACCGTAGCTGATTCAATGTGCGAATCAGAGTACATAGCAGCGAGCGAAGTGTCAAAGGAGGGGATATGGTTGAAGAACCTCATCGGAGACCTTGGAGTTGTGCCAGCCATAAAGGATCCTATGGCGATTTTTTGTGATAATGAAGGAGCGATTGCCTTGACCAAGGAACCAAGGGATCATGGTAGATCCCAACATATCGACACGAAATATCACTTTAATAGACATCAGGTAGAAGAGACTCCTCGTAGTGAAGATGGTATCGTCATAGGATAACCCAACAGATCCCCTTATGAAGGGACTGAGTAGTGTTAAGCACTTGCAGCACGCTAGGAGCATTAGGCGGAAGGACGATATTTATTTAGATTAGATAGCTTCAAAACGTGTAATAGGTAATTTGTAATTAACATTTGATGATTAAATAAAGGAGTATTATTTATAACTAAAGTTATTGTCTTGTGTTAATTATTTTTACCTACTGTTTCACTTTGCATGTTTTGAATTCCTAGATAATAAGATTATGCGAACGGTCCACAGTCGTTCATACTTTGGAAGTAGGTATGAATGAAGATTTTCATGAATTGGTTTGTTGACTGTCTAACGTGTGTTAGACATAGAAAAAGTTTGTTGCAACGTTCATGAGTGCTTATGAAATATGATTTGAGCATTCGATTAAACCCATACTTTCTGGTATCACTTCATGGAATTTATCACAAGTGATCGCAAGACGATAATATCATATAGTCTTTAAACCTTGATATATGGTTTATTGTTTGCAAGTTTGTTGTGCGTTGATAATGCGTAAACACATCAGTAACTTGATGTTATAAAAAGCATTGTTGTGTATGATTTGATGAGTGAATAGTAAATAAATATAAGTCAAAGTTTATTTCTTCCTTTTATCCTAAGAGGGTAAAAGCAATATCTAGGCCCCTCGATGATTTGGTTTGAGTTATGTGGCCGGCCCGGTTAGGACTGAATTAATGTGTTTAATTAAGTTCTATGTAAGACGAATCAGAGATTGAGAACCAAACTGTTGGACAATAAGTATGACTATGTTCCATGTATTTGTATGCACGATATCTTGAATGGAGGACTGTACGATCCCTTGTCTAAAGGACGAGTCAGAGTTCGACAGCGCCTTTTGAGAGCTATGATTGCTAATCGGATCCTGAAGTCGTACTTGCATTTATAGTTATTAGACTTATCCAAGTGAGAGACTGTTAGATTACTGTCTAAGTCCATAACTATATTTGGTATGTACTTGACCCGGTTGTAGCATGGTCCTTTTGGGTTGCCTTCACCAAAGCAAATTGAATGCATGATTAATGGAGAGAAACGATATTATAGTTTATGAATATATTATAAGAATAATATATTAAAAGAGAAATCATATTGTTTAATTCATATTGGTCAAGAATTAATTAAGAATTAATTTTGTGGCTAAAAGATATTAATTAAACAAAGGGGACTGGTATTGCCAATTATAAGATAATTGGATTTGGGTTATAGTTCCTTATGGATATAAGGGGGACGAAAATTAGAGTGGAAGCCCATTATGATTCCTTCTATGGCCTTATTTCTAAGAGTTCTAAAGCCGAATTTGGAGCCTCCATTCCCTCTCTTTAAGATCATCTTCTTGCCTTGGTGTTTGTAAGCCATTAGAGATTTTGTATGCTAGATCTAGGGTTTGTAAGCTTTGGATAATTTGCATGTACAATAGAGAAACTTAGATCCAAAGCTTTAGGATTTTGCATGTGCACCATAGGATTGTTGTATTGCTCAAATCCCATCAATAAGGCCCAAGGAGGAGTTTTCGGTCCAATAGGGTGTTAGGCCAAGAATTCTTGGGCCAAGGCCCAAAATTGATTGGGCTTAGCTATTGGATTGAGTTTTGGGTTTGCATGAGGTTATTTCAACTTGATTTACAATATATTCACGTTATGTATTCAAATAACATTGTAGTTTGAATTTCACTAATTTGATGTTACAAGTTTACATAGAGGAAATTTTGTATCTCAACCCCAAACTTGACAGTTGTGATAGTTGGGTTGATGAAGATGAGTTTGATCATGCAAGACCTGAACTTTCTCCTCTACCAAGCTTGAAGATCAGAATTTGAAGTTGAGGATGCTATTACTCTTCGGGCTTTTTTTTGGCGATCATAACTTACAAGTTGTAATTTAGTCGATGTAATCAAAACCATTGGTTACATTAATGTATTAAGGCCTTTGCTTTATTTTGTGGGAATTTACAATTATGTTGATGGTTTGTGGGAACTAAAAACGATTATATCGATGTATTTAGTGCGTAATACAATTATTGTGCAAGAAAAAGGGTTAACTGATCAAAATGTAACACATGCTTATTCTATTGGTATGAATTTAAACCAAAACCATCAATTGGTGACAATTATATCCAGTTAAATGTAGAAATTGGTATGAGCTTAAATGCCAAAAATGAACAATAAATGCAACAATCTAACCAACTTTAGAAACAACCATCATATCTAATTACCATAGGGTTATACCCTAACAAAAGATACAAGTTCCAAAAGATGCAAGGTAATTATAGTAATTGTTAACAGTTAAAACTAAGACATTAAGCAACAAAAGATGAAAGTTCCAAAAGCTAATACATTAAACAACATACATACTAGAAAATACTTCTTCAAACAACATTCTTTCCTTTCTTTCCAGCACCAACTTCTTTTTTCCCAACACCATTATCTTTCTTCCTATCACCATCTGATTTCCTCCTTTCCTAGCACCATTTGCTTTCTTCCTATCACCATTTGCTTTCTTCCCTGCACCATCTGCCTTCCCTTTCCTGCTTGGTCCACCATTACATGCACTTCCACTAGCAGTCTGAACTTTTCAGCTTCTTGCATTATGAATAATATTTTTGCATTTCTAACATGTCATATATTTGTTTTTCCTTGAAGCACTATTCCCATTCACCAGATCTTCCACATCAAACTTCTTTCGTTTCTTTTTTGGTCTTCCAATAAGGACATGATGTTTAAGAGGAAGCAATGTGGTTAGGTAAGGATATTTTCCCCACATTCTTCTTCCATTGATAGGTTCAATATTGAAGGAATACATTTCCTTCCATATTTTTAGCCGGTAAGTAGGATGAACCCATGATTCAAGCAACCCCACATATTTGTTATTTTTTTCCCATATCCTATATTGCAACTAGTGCATGCTTACATGGGATGCCAGTGAGTTCCCATTTCCTACAAGAACATGTATGTTGAACCATGTCAACAACACACTATTCGGTCCATGGTCCAATGACTTGGTATTCATCCCCTCAAAAAACACCATTACATTGTGATGCCTCATTTTTTATTTTTTCCAATACAGTTGTTGCAGTTGGATTCAAAGGTCCATATGCCTTATTAATTACCTTTTGCACTAGGACTATCCTTACCATTAGGTACTCTCTAATGAATTCTAGGCAAGTGATGATTGGTTGTTCACGTTCTTTTTGAAGTTGACTATTAATAGACTCACACAAATTCTTTAGAAGACCATCACAATATACCCTCCCTGCATTACAATTGAAGTTTAAGCTAACATATTTTAGTAACTAACAAAAATAAAGGTACATTAACTAAAAAGGATACAAACCTGTGAAGTGTGACCTAGCCCAGTGCTGAGGTGGAATATATTTAACCCATTCATAACAATCATTATTCAATTTATTGAGCTTTTCCATTGCATGGTGAAAATCTTGCACAGTTGTACACTTCCATAACATATCATGATCAAAACCTTGTGCTTCAAATTGAGGCTCATATGGGGGTTTTCCACAGTGATCAACTTCTGGTATGGTTGAACCACTATAATCCCTTATTCTTTATGTCTTCAATTCTAAAACATGCATAGGGTTCAATAATTTCCTCAATCCTAACTTACTAGGGTTAGGGGACATTAAAATGTATTCAAAATTTTCTTACCATGCTCTGTATAAACTTCAATAAGGTTATGTTTCTCCACATATGTCCTCAAGTGGTTAATATCACTATCACAAGCCAAAGCAAACAAACCAGTGTACAAATCTGATAATGGTCTTTTGAAATGATAATACAACGACTTACCTTCCTCCACGCAGCCAAGGATGTCTGTCATTTCGTCAATATCATGAACAGAGAACTCGGCAATGTCCACTAAATCAACATACTTTTCTTTTCCCTTTATGTATCTCCTTTCAGGAAACTTTGTAAAAACTCCATTATAAAACAGTTTAATCGAGAATATTGACGGATTACTACCTGCGAAGAAGGAGAATGAAGCTTAGGTTTTTGAGAATTTGTGCTTTAGATGAGAGTATTAAACACAAAAAAACTTATTGTAAACTCGTCCAACGTCTATTTCCGCCATGTCTGCTCGAACCCTCCACCCCACCATTGTTTCCATTAGGAAAGCTTGATTGAAATTGAGTAGGTTAGGGTTTTCTACGTGATTTAGTTGAGAGAAGTGGTATGTGTAACGTAAACGAGAAAGATGATCGGGAAGATATAAGAAACGTTTTCCATATCCATTTACACGTCATGTGTAAAAGGATGAATGTACCCTTAGTGTGACAGGTACGTGATATATTTAACGGAGAAGAGTGAGAGAAAATGTCAATAAGGATCAGGCGTGTAATAAAATGAAACCTTGAGGATGGTACGAGTGCAAAAAAAAGTTAAGGACTAAACGCGCAATTTTACCTAAACCATAGGGACCATTTCAGTAGTTTACTCATTATAAAAATATAATAAATAATAGCAATGATTTTGAACTTCCAAAATTTAATAGAATACCATGTTTTTAAGTTGTTAGTATAACGTTTTTGAGATGTTATAATATTTTTATTTTAAACATGTAAATTTATGCTACAAATAATTATTTTTATCTATAAATAGCTTATTTTAGCCCAAAAAAACTCCTTTTAGCCCAAAGAACACCTTCGTTCGCCCAAAAAAAATTAACCCAAACGGGGGCGGGGAAACGGGGACGGGGGTAATCCAGGGATTCAGGGCGGTGGCGGGGGGTGAGGAAGCTATAGATTTCAGGGACTGAGGCAGGGAAACTGGGAAATTTCGGAGGTAGACCCGTTGTCCCTGTTGACATTCCTAAGGTTCAAAATGAAAGATTAAGTGATATTTATGCTGACTTTTTGCAATAATACAAATCAGAATGTTAATGACACCTCATGGACAAAAATGATATCTCACAAATTAAAAATTAAAAGTTTGACTCCTCCATACTCAATATTCGATCTTCAATGCATTTTTAATATTATATTAGATAAGAAATGCTTTTGTTTTAGTTTAAGCGATTGTTACATGCATAACTTATATACAGACAGATAGACACAAACAATTGTATATTAACTAATATATAATCACTATTTTAAAGATGCATCATTCATATTTACTTATAGATTAAAAAACACACGATGGTATATAGTCTATTTATATGTTGAGAAAAAAACCCAACTGCTAAATAGTTTATTATACTTAACCTCTCACCGGAACATTCTTTTCAATCGTGCTCTTGTTCATTTTATTTAATTATCTAGTGGCGTAAAATTAATAAGTGATTAATTCAGTCAAAATAACTGTAGTAGAGTGGATAAACATATTGAAATTATTTGTGATAAAAATATCGTGTCGTGTCATGTAACATTAAAGGGGTTGTAAGAATTTGATGTTAACTCAGCATGTTTAATTATCGTGTCGTGTCAACTCATTTATTTAAGTATCGGATTAATAGGTTAGAGTTTTGACTATATAATGTGCTGTGTCACATATATTGGGTTGAAACAATAAACATAACAAATAAAAGAAATTAGGGAGGTGCAAAGAAAAAAAGTGGAAAAAAAAAAAAAAAAAAAAAAAAAAAAAAAAAAAAAAAACCCTCAGAAATAATAGGATCTGGGATGGGGAGGGGCAAGGTTGTGCAGAGGAGGGAGTGGTCCACTCATTTTATGAAATTTTGATCTAGCAGCTAAATTGTTTTATATTTGGTTTTGGATTTTGGTCTATCCAATTTATATAACAAATTAAAATAAAACTGTATATAAATAATTAAGTCATTTTTTAGTTGAAAATTTCAGCCAAGAATTGATCCATTTAACTATTGTGTCGATTTTAACTTTTTAATTAAATGAGTTTAAATCTCTTACCTCAAACCCACTATTTCGTTTTGGGTTAGCATATCGTGTTATTGTTTGCCACATGTAATTAAAAGTAATATAATTATAGAATAAATGAGTAATTATAATTATTCTAAGGGGTCAAAATATTTTTTTATAAAAGTATCTTGATTTAAAACCATGGTATCCATGACTTGGGGCTTGCTGAGAATACGTCTATGTAGAGTTTTTTTAAGCTAGGATTTAGGGTCCTTAATTTTTTAAAGTCCAAATATTTAGTCCTTTAAAATATCCAATCTGATAACCACAAAATAAATCAAGCGGACGAATAAATAAACTATCAATTACTTCTTTCGATTAGAATATAATTGTGCGATTGAGCTATCTAGTCCTAAACATCATAGTTCTTGACAGTGAATGATAGGTTTTAGTAACAAGTTTGTTATATTAGATGTTATAAGAATCATATCGCACTTTTTATCAAATTATTGTTGATTTAAAACAAGAAAAACCCATTATCCCGTACTAAAATTTTCCATGAAGAAAACATTAAGAGTGAACTTGTATGTGAATATAATTAAGGAGTATAGTAAAGGCTAAAGGGACCCAAAATATTGGTTCGCTTAGAGCCCACAAAATGGTTGAGCCGTCCTTGTATACATATTAATGGTTCCATTAAAGGATAACATATTAAAAGTACAATGTTATAAAGTGTTCCATATAAAAATAAAAACCTCTTACCAATTCAATAAAGGTCTAAACTATTCAACATCACCATTCTCCAATGATGATTCAACAAGTAACTTCTTCCCCAATTGCCCTCATAACTTACATTTATTTTCTTTCTTTTTTTCTTCACAATGTCCCTTCCTCCAAAATTGTGACAGACGCCACGAAATTCTCCATTGCCACCTTATTATTCATTTCCCTACTACTAGCCCCAACCTCCTCCTTCCACACAAATATTAGCACTTCCCATCACACTGGTGTGTCGAATTGTACACTTCACAACCCACAATAGAAACATGAATCCAAGGGTTTGTGTTGTTGTAAAGTGGAGGTCTTACGATTCGCTAATTGCATCCCCAAAAACGACATAATTGTTCTCCGAACACCTTGAGGATTCATCTCATAAAGTCAAACACGAGCAACTCCTATGAAAGATTTTTTTATTTAGGGTTGTAATTAATCTAAAAAAATTATCTATGAGAAGTTTTTTTGATACAGAGCAAACTTGACTTGAAAACTCAAATAGCTCAAAACAATCTGCAAAAACTGTTTACTAATACAATTTGCTTTGAGTTTAACCTAAAAATATTGATATGAATATAAGGCTCATAAAGCTTGATAATAACTAGAGTCGAGTGCCTATAAAATTGAGGTTAAATCGTTATATGTTTTGGGCTCAAAACAATCTAACTTGCTTATAGTAATTATGAATTTATGATAGGTTGTGAAGTTATATTCTATCTAAATTTATGTATGTTTTCATGGATTTAAAAGGATTTTTGTTTATTTTGGATGTTGTATGATATTTGTAGTTTTTATAATTAATAGATTCAAATATCTTTTCAAACAAAATTATTTTCATTTAGAAAAGAATAATATAAAACATTAAAATTGTTATTTTCATCACTTGATACAACTGACAAAAAGTTATATTTTCATTGAGAAGCCTAATCATTTTTGTCTCTTAGGTTGTGTTTGGTACGCTACAGTTAGCTAATAAGTTAGCTTATTTTTCAAGCTTTTTTATGTTTTCGTGTTTAGTAAATCAAAAAGTAGCTTATAAGCTAGCTTTTTGAAAAGCTACTTATACTAGCTTTTTAGAAGCTTTTTTAAAAAATTTCAAAAACACTTCTTAATTAATTATAGAAACACATACTCTTACATGTCCTTTTATGTAATTTTAAATATTTCAACTATTTTTATCAAACATTATTTTTAGAGTAAATTACTGAAATAGTCCCTGTGGTTTGGTCAAAATTGCACGTTTGGTCCCTAACTTTTTTTTGCACTCGGATCGTCCCTGTGGTTTGATTTTGTTGCGTTTTCCGTCCCTATGGTTTGGTAAAAATTGCATGTTTGGTCCCTAATTTTATGTATGTAAGGGACGAAAAATGCAACAAAATCAAACCACAGGGACGAAAAACACAACAAAATCAAACCGTAGGGACGATCCGAGTGCAAAAAAAAAGTTAGGGATCAAACGTGAAATTTTGACCAAACCACAGGGACGATTCCAGTAATTTACTCTATTTTTTATCAACTAATTTTTCAGCTATCAGTTAACTTTTTATTTAACAGTTAGCTTTTCAGCCATCAACTAGTTTTTCAAATAACAACTAGTTTTTCAGCTAGTCCGCCAAACATAACCTTATTAATGGATTTATTTAGTCTTTTTGTAATTTAGTTAAATTTGAATGAAAATTTATGTAATTGCTTTATGATTATAAAATATAAAGTATGATTATGTAAAATAATGTAAGTAAGTTAATATTTTTATTTAAGAATTTTAGCAAAAACCTGACCACGTGGACCATTAAATAGGATTTACTGTACAATCCCACAAAGCACGCAACACGTTATTCGTACAACTCAAACATCAGAAATGAGAATGGTAACTTGGATTGATTTTTTTTTTCCGTTTGTTCACACTCCTATTTTGGCTCCATTTCACCTCTTTTTAAACCCGATCACCCACATCATTCTTTCAGCATCCATTAACACACATACCTTCAACCAAAACACAAACCAGTCATGGCTGCTTCCATTAATAGAAGTCCATTTAACTTCATTAGTTTGTTGTTATGGTGTGGTTTGGTGTTCGGATCTGGTGGTTTGTGTGAATCGGTTCCAGGAGTTTACATATTCGGAGACTCATTGGTGGACGTCGGAAACAACAATTACCTGTCTCTCTCACTTGCCAAGGCTGATTTTCCTCATAACGGTGTCGATTTTCCTACCGGAAAAGCCACCGGTCGGTTCAGTAACGGGAAAAACGCCGCTGACTTTTTAGGTGCGTTGATTCTTTGTTGACGATTTTATATATATAGCATACTACTACTCCCTCCATGCAGTTTGTTTCTAAATTCTAAAATTTGGATTTTTGCAGCTGAAAAGGTCGGACTACCTTTTGCACCACCGTATCTGTCACTGGTGTCGAAATCAAAAAAGCTGAGCAGTTCCAATTCCACGGTTACCGGAATCAGTTTTGCATCTGGAGGTGCCGGCATCTTCAATGGAACAGATGAACTCTTTGTAAGCTTAATCATTCATATATACTACATGCTTCTCAAAATTCAAAACTCGATCGAAACATGATAAAATTCATTCATAAAATTATACAAACGCTGGTTTTTTGTTATTTTATATATATATATATATATATATATAATCAGAATATAAATTAACAAAACTTAAAAATAAATTAATCTGGAAACTACATCAAAACTTAGATCATGAAAGTGTATGGTGTAGAAAGGATTAGTGTGTATATGTGGGGTGGATACTTGTCATCACTTGATAGCTAAGTTTGGTCTTATAGCTTCCAAATAAAAGGAGACCATTAATGAAGGCGCTTCAATGAAAATGCGTAGTAAATGTGAACCTAAATGTGTCATTTTCGATAAAATATCAAAATCGACAAAAATAGTTATAATAATCTAGAGTGTTTGTATGAACTTGGTGAATGATCATGAAAGCTAAATGTTTGGTACTCCTTTAATGATACAATAAGTTACACTTAAAAGAGTTATGAGTTTAATCATTTTTTTCGAAAACATATTTTCAGATGTATGTCATATATCTATAATCAGATAACTAACCCAGTTGCTTATTAATTAATATATATTGTAAGTAATCGGAGATCTTAATCATTTGATAAGTTATAGTGTAAACCATTAGACGCTAATTGTGAAAATACATCCCCTAAACAATATCTATGGTAAGCTATGTTTATTTTATGTATAATTCTCTTTGAATTGTGAAAATACATCCCCTAAACTGTTATATAAAATGACTTTTAACCCTTTGAATTATTTGAAGAGAGCGTTGTTTAATAGCAGTGAACAATACATGTTAACCGACTTTATTAAATAGTGATATAATAACTGTTTAAAGCTAATCAATTTACACTTTCAAATGATAAAATACAATATATTTTAGAATAAAAGCATATTATGTATTAATGGCTTAATGCTTATCGTATAAATAAAGTGTCATAAGTTAGTGGGTAAGTGATAACAATTAATACACTTATCGTAATAAAACTAGAAAATCGTGTTTTTATTTAAAAAAAATAAACAAGATTTGCACGTAATGATCATAATTTCCCCGTATATATCAATCATTAATAAACATGTTTATTTAGATAAATAAAAAAATAATGTCAACTAAATATTTTCATCATTGGATTGTCTAGAATGGAAAATTCAAAATTTATGATCATGTATTATATTTTATCATAGCGAAAAACCTCAAACATGCTTAAAAGAACAGTTTTTTTTATTGTCTACAATCGAAGATCCAAAGTGTATTTTGAACCTTGTATAGTTGTATTCTACTCATTATTTATATATAAAATATATGTTTTAAACATAGTACAAATTACATATGTAAATCATAATGTAAGTGATCATTTATCCATTTTAAACTAATTGAACCATAAAAAGCTGCAAAAAGAAAGATAAAAAGCGTTGAGGGGACATTTTGGTGAAAGCCAGAAAGGCCCGAACCACTAACTCACTAGATCAAGATTTCCAATTCGTCCTTTGACCTTTTTGCATGGGAATCACATTCTCTTTTGAAAGTGTATATTTGTTCCGCGTAAAATGATAATAACATATTAGTTTAAATTATTTGTGAAGAATGCATATTTGATCTCATTAACTTTTTTTCTCTTCATTCTGAAATATTAATAAGATTTATTGTTATTAAATATATATAAAATCAAGTCTTTAATAATTTGTAAAGATAAAATAAGAGAAATTAAATATTTTTTTTGTTTTTTCTTTCTATCTATCTTCCTATCATCTTTAGATAATGACAAATATAATAAAATTTTATTAATTTTATTAAATAATAAATCACAATCTTAAGTGAACAGCAAAAAAAAAAATAGAAAAAGTAAGAAGACATTTGATTTCTCGTAAAATAAATATGTCATTTAATTTTGATTTATCCATCAAGATCAATAATTTAAAATAGACAAAAAGAATAAACTTAATTTCTTTTAGCAAAAACAAAGATATTTTATTTATTTTAAGTAAAACGCGAGCGTATTATTACATCTATTTCATATATCAAGAGAACCTACTAAATTATTATATTGATTATTAACAAATATATGTTACTATTTTAGTTAAAACAGTGGAGAAACATTGAAACAAAAACATAATGGACGTGCATCTCACGTGTAATTGGAATCCGGGAAGGATTTTTCTTCGTACCAAAAGCTTCATTTTAACAAACTTTATCGACCGTCTAAAAATTAACAAAATAATGCGGTGAACGTGGATCGAACAAGATCTTCAGTCTGACGCTCTCCCAACTGAGCTATCCCCGCATGTATTATTACGCTAATATAATTTTATTCAATACACAGAAACAATCAATTCCATTAACGAAGCAAGTGGGCTACTACTCTCTGGTCCATGACCAACTGGTAGAACAAATGGGCTCAAATGGTGCAGAAGCCCACTTATCCAAATCCCTATTTCTGATTGTCATTGGAAGCAATGATCTCTTCGGCTACTTCAACAAAGACTCCAAAGTATCTAAGCAATACACCCCACAACAATATATTGATCTCATGGCCTCGACTCTCAAAGGACTCATCAAGGTAACCTATAAACACAATGGTTAAAAAACGACTTTTTTTTTTTTTTTTGGATAGTGATGTTAAGAATAAGAGTTAATTGAATTGATTTGGGTACAGAATATGTACACATTGGGAGCACGTAAATTTGTGGTAAGTGGAGTCGGAGTGATTGGTTGTTGTCCTGCACAAAGGAAACAAAACACCACCGGTGATTGCAAAATGGAAGCAAACTATTGGTCAATGAAGTATAACGAAGGTCTCAAGGCTTTGCTTCGGGGATTGAAGTCAGAATCATCAGATATCAGCTACTCTTATTTTGATACATACGCTGCCATGAGTGGCCTCATTCAACATCCTCAAACTTATGGTACTAATTTAATTTAATTGCCTTTACGATTTCTCAAAATAACCTTCAATATAAATATATAATTTTTTATTTTGTCACATTTTAGGAATCACGGAGATAAAAGAAGCTTGTTGTGGACTTGGCAACTTAAAAGCTGACATCCCTTGCATTCCAATTTCAACTTATTGCTCAAATCGGAAAAACCATCTTTTTTGGGATCTCTATCATCCTACGGAAACTGCATCTAATATCTTTGCGAACATTATCTATAGTGGATCACAACAATTTACGACTCCAATGAATGTGGAACAACTCATTAATGTGTAAAAATGAATATGAACAAACAAACATACATTTATTGTTGAGTGTTTGTTAAGAGCGTTGAGAAAGAAGTATATGAATATATGTCAAATCAAATGTTTTTCTAAAGTTTATTATGAAATTATTAGTTGATTTCGTTATTATAGTTCATTATGGCATGGTTAAATTGTTCGATTGGTTACGCCTCGTTCGTTCCCGAGTTTAACAAAAGAAAAGAAGAGAAGAGAAAAGAAAGTCATGAGAGAAAAGAAGAGAAAGGAAAGGAAAATAAAATTTTCTTTTGTGTTCCTGAGTTTGAGAGAAGTGGAAGGAAAATGAATCATTTTGTTCTTTCTTTCCAAATCCTCCCAAATCGGAAGGAAAATGATCCTCTTATTTCCCTCCACTTCCCTCCTTTAATGAAACTCGGGAACACCAATTTTTTTTATTTTCTTCTCATTTCCACCGTTTCTTTTTCTTTCTCTCGTTAAGTTGAACTCGGGAGCGAGGTGTTAGTTTAGTGCTATAATGGAAAACTAGGTGTAAGACTCATGTATTATATGAGTTTAATTAAAAAAAACAAATATAAAATTTTAACTATTTGAAAAGTTTGAATTTATAAGAAAAATGAGAAAATTTTGAATTATTAAAATTAATGAGACTTTAATGTATTGAATACGTTATATATATAAATTCTTTCTAATAAATATTTTACGTATATATTACCTTACACATTAAATGTAGAATTTTAATTTAATAAAATGAAAAATACAATAAAATGACAAGTGGAAAATAGAAAATTTAAAAAATCTAGAAAATGTCATGTGTCCAAATAAATAAGAAGATGACAAGTGGTAAAAAAAACCTTCATTTATTAAGGAGAATGGAATATATGTCGGAATCAAATGTTATTTTTCTTGAAGTTTATTATGAAATTTTACATGATTGAATTAATGTTATTAATTATGGATATTAAAATTTTTCAACCGGTTTTGTAATTGTAATTATGCAATGTATGGATCTTTACTCTAATAAATAAAGGGTTTTTTTTTTGTCCCTTGTCAAATTTTCAAGATTTTTGCCACATGTAATTTTGTGGGAGTTTTAGAATTATTATTTCCCACTTGTCATTTTTTAGGAATTTTCATTTTTTAAAATAAAATTCCATAAAATTCTAATGAATTTTATAAAGAAATAGCATCATTCTATTAATTTGATAATAAAGTCTCATAAATGCTCTAAATATATTTGATTTCTTTTATAAATGTTCCAAAAGATTACATTATTTTTGTAAAAGTGTTATTTTATAAAATATTTAATGTTTAAATATTGATATTAAATTTTTATTATTGAAATACTCGTATAGTACATATATCTCACACATAGTAATGGAATATACGTGATCTTAATTTCTTGTGTGAAAAGGTAACCCATAATATGTTTGAGTAAAGTGTTTGCATGACAATGAAATATTTTGTTATATTGGCAAATTACACAAAAATCATTGAGTTTATATGAAAATTATGGTATCATTTAAAACAAAAAACTAAAATATAATAATTTTTGTATTAATTTATCAAAATGTTGTGGTTTTTATGTAATTTGATGTTTTATATATATATATATATATATATATATATATATATATATATATATATATATATATATATATATATATATATGAAAATGATCAAATGAACATCAAAAAGATTGAGAACGTGAGAACGCTTACAAACCAATCATTTTATAAGACAAATTAATACTTTTGTATTTATATTAAATTTTAAAATATTAATATTAAATCCTAATCTCCTAAAATCTAGCCATCATAATGTTTACCTAAAAAGGCAAAAAAAAAAAATAATAATAATAACAATTGATGTTTTTTTCTTTTTAAGTTATTTTATTAGTTTTTTTTTCAACAAAAAAAACAAAGTTATTTACTTAAAAAAGTAAACTACAATTACAATCATAAATCAATATATTTTTATTTACAAATAAAAACCTTACGAAATCCAGAATTCGTCATATTCTCACAAAATGAAAACTTTAATCACAAATGACTACATTTTTATTCACAAATGAGTATAGCTTTAATCACAGATAAATATAGATTTAATCATAAATGATTAAACTACATCTAAAAAATAGTGAACATTCTCATCTATTCACCAAAAAGAGAAACAACTCTAATCATTAATGAATACAATTCCATCACAAATGAATGAATTTAGCTATAATTATATCAATACAAAACAACCATCATATGAGTTTAGTTATAATCTTCAGGGGAACTTCTCCCTTCCATTCCGATCACCCCTCCAACCTCTTATCACCCACCACCCTCGCAAATTATCCTTCGCGGCGGTTTCATCGTCCTCCGGGTATGCTATCTCCGACCAAGAACTGGAATCGCGGGGTTTCATCTTCTGCCGCACAATCAACGACCTGAACCTCGACCACTTAAACTCTGTTTTCGTCGTCGTTGGTTTCCCAAAACGTGACACCAACAAGATAAAAGTGGCGCTGGAGCATACAGATTCGTTGTTGTGGGTGGAGTATGAGAAGATGAAGAGACCGGTGATGTTTGTTAGGGCCACCGACGACGACATATTCAATGCTATTATTTGGGATATGGTGGTGGATCCGAATTTTTAGGGGATTGGGTTGGGGAAGGCGGTGATTGAGAGAGTGGTGGTGGAGCTGCTTCAAAAGGGAATCACTAACATTGCTATGAGTTTTGGGATTCTATAGACCTCTCGGGTTTATTTCGGATCCATATGGGATAAGAGGGATGGTGTATTTAAGAAAGAATAAGAGAAAATAGTTGTATAGATTTGGGTTCCATGGTGTTCGGTTGTAAGGAAGGTGATCACAGTGATGTACAATCGCTTGAAGATGACTTTGTTGCTTGACTTGATGAATTAGGTAGAAGATGATGAAGGCTGTAGAATGCATTCTCCCTTTGCGTTGGCGGCTAGGTTAAAGAAACAAAGAGGGAAAACGTATACACAGGGGAGAGAGAAATGTGAAACAAGTGGGTCAGATACATGATATTTAGGGATCAATTAAATATAAATTACTAATTTACCTTATAAATTGTTGGTAAAGAACTGTTCTCACGTTCTCAACCTTTTTGGTGCTCTCATTTGATCCTAATCCTATATATATATACAACCAAATAAAACGACAACCATGGACACAAGATGGTAGGGTTTCATATGAACTAGTAGCCCAATCATAATTCGACATATGATTTTTTTTGTTCTAAAACTAAAAGATATTAGTGTAAACTATACTTGTGGGTTTAGGGCATCAATGCCCGCCCACTAGATTGTGTTATGTAGGATGCTAGCTGTCTTTTTGACACTTGAATGTATGTTTGGGTTAAAACACACCCTAGGGCTGGTCCCGCTATTGTACGATCATCATTATATGATGGGTTGGAATATACCCCAGGACTGGGCCTACTGATGTGTATTGGGTTGAAATATACCCTAGGGGTGGCCCCAAGACTAGGCACACTGATATGTATTGGGTTGAAACATACCCTAGGGCTAGGCCTACTGGTCTGTATGGTATGTAGTATTTTGAGGAACTCACTAAGTTTTGTACTTACGGTATTGTGGTTTAAGATTTCCAGGTACTTTCAATTCAAAACGGAAGGGCCTGAAATGATCACATAACACCCCTCCTTGATTTTTATTCTGCATTGACATTTGATGTTTACTTTGAGCGAGAAATATGTGACAACCCAAATTTTATTGCCTTGTAAAGCCCAGCCAGTCAACTCAATTAGGTGTCAGACTTGCTTCTGCTATCAATTAACCTTGTTTAGAGTCTGTTTAAAGGTTCAAAGCTCAGTACATTCAAAGCATTGGGTATAGGATCGATTCGCGTAAGTTCTACGCATAAAAATCAATCCATACACTCCATGTGAGGGAGTGTACGGTCGTACACATGAGTGTGCGGCCGTACACATGTGTGTGCGGCCGTACACCCATGTTGGTCCGTACAACCCCTCCCTAAGTATGATATCCTTCCATTTCCAAGTCATTCCCTCAGTTTCCAGGTCAAGAACATAGAGTCTTCTCTCAACTATCATCACATTTTTCATCTTGATCTTCAAAAGTGGTAAGTGATTCTTCCATCTTTCTTAATATCCTTCCTAGTCTTCTAATCATCTCTTGATTCATCCATGAACACATCTATTTTGACTAGATCTTCAAATCTTCATCCATCTCACTAAGAACACACACTTGTTCTTGGTGATTGTGAACCCTTTTGAGCCTTCATATCGTAAGTAATCATTCCCTACACTTGGTACATGTTATAATACTAGGTTAACACCTTGAAAATGCCCAGAACTCATGGACATAAGGTGTGTACGTCCATACACCCATGTGTGGCCGTACACCCTTCAAAAACACCCCTAAAGGGACTTCAAAATGCATTCCTAGCTTCAACACTTGAAGAGAAATTGTCCCACAAGCATTTCTACCTTTGGAAAAAACTATCATGCACTCATTACCATGAGTGTGCGGCCACACACTACCAGGCCGCACACTCTTCATATTGGTCGTACACTCCCTTTTAGTGAATCACATGTGATTCCAACACTTGGTCAAAGTATTTCCTAGTCCCGTAAGATGTTTCCTTGCATTTGGTTTCTTCTAAACACTCTATTTATGTCATTATATGCCATTATATATCATTTAGGACTCGTTAAGTCTCGGGGATTCATTCATGGAGCTTCTCATCCTTACGCACATATTTGTTTGAATCACCTACTGTAACATCCCAAAAATACGAGCCAAAAATTTCGTTTTTAAAACGTGTACTTAGTAAAACATTTAGGAATAAATCATTCAACAATCATTTCATTTCACAAAAGATGTTGCACATTGGAAAAACATTGTCATGATCATAAAAGTATCAGAGTACAATTTCCCAGAAAGATATCATAATGCGGAATACAAGCAGGTGTGTGATGTACTGCTACCGCACCAGCTCCTTCCCCTTCGAAGAAGAGGTACCTGAAACCAAAACTGAAAACTGTAAGCACGAAGCTTAGTGAGTTCCCCCAACGTACCACATACCATACAATCACATAACATACATATATCATCAGGCATATCAGGGTGCCTGACCTACCCCTTCGGTCCTCTCGATCGGATACTGTCTAGTATAACTGGGAGCTTGCCTCTCCTTCGGTCCTCTCGACCGGATACTGACTAGCATATCTGGGTGTTGATCTCCCCTTCGGTCATCTTGACCGGATACTGGCTAGCATATCTGGGAGCTGGCCTCCCCTTCGGTCCTCTCGATCGGATACTGGGGACTATTTCACCCCTACTACTACCACATAACACATATATCACATACTCTATCTAGCATGGTTGGGCATGACCGCCCCTTCGGCCCTATCGACCGGTATACTTGGGACTATCTCCCCTTACTGTCATTAGCACATATCATCATATCTTACTAGCACATTAGCATATCATAGGTAGTAGCAATCCTAGATGAATATCACAGAGACAAAGATTTATCGTAGAAACCTACTGGTGGGCCGACATTGTGGCCTTAGACCCACCGCTACTAGAAGGTAACTCACCTCGTAGCTACTGATCTGTGTGGGAACGGTCTGTCTGCTACTGCTGCTCCGAAAATCCTCCGGCTGCAATTCCCACCAAACACTTAGTCAATTACTGCTAACCGCCTTCAAGGTAAATTGTCCATTTACCCTTAACAAGTCATGAGTCAAGTCACAGTCAACTGCCAGTTGACCAGACTCATCGAGTTGGCTTGCCAAATCGCCGAGTCCCTTTCTCTATACCCAAGGCCAATAGTCCTTCATCCTACTCACCGAGTTGTATGAACAACTCGCCGAGTTCACCTTCATCCGAAGAACACTCTAAGTTGTAACTCACTGAGTTGTATGAACAACTCACCGAGTTGTTCTTGAGACAAGAAGATTGCCATGAACTCGCCGAGTCATGGCATTGACTCGCCGAGTGACTTCATGAGTGAGTCTGGCTTCCAACCCACTGAGTGACACCCTATGACTCACTACTCCAACCCGCAAACATGAAAAGAGGGAAAACTCGAGGACTCGCAACTTGACTCGCCGAGTCCGAGGGACGAATCACCGAGTCGCCCACATGCAATTACTATACACTCAATTATTCTTGAATCTAGCTCATGCCATTCACAGATCTGGGTTTCTAGGGCATGGATTACACGTAAAGTTTCCAACTTTACGTGTAGATAATCACCAATGAAGGTTTTAGGGCTCAAAATGCACCAAAAGGGGTAGATCTAGGGCTTTCATGCAATATGACTCCATAAAGGCAGTAGATCCAAGCTCCAGGGACTCAATCATGCCTAGATCTAGAGGCTAACAACTTATTACAACCCACAATGCACAAACAAGCTTGGGGAATGGCTCAAGAAGGACTTTCATGTAGCTAATAGAGACTACATGCATGAAACAGAGGGGAAACGAGTTATACCTCAAGGAAAACGCTGAGATGACACAAAGATGCATGGCCTCCTTCTCTTCTTCTTGATCTACTCTTCTTTTTCCTCAAAATCTTCAAGAACACACCAAAACACTTCAATCTCACAAGGAATAAGGGTATAAACGATGTTGGGAGCTCTGAGCGTGAAGGGGGCGAGCTTATGGGCGGATAAGAGGGTTTAAATAGGGTGCAAACCCTTTAAATTTAGGGTTTCATCAAACAGCGGGGACTCACCGAGTCCAGAATATGGACTCGCCGAGTCGCCAACTTAAACGCGTTCTGGTCCCCGTCCCTACTCGGCGAGTCGGACCCACAACTTACCGAGTCCAGGGCTAAAAATGACAAATACTTAGATAAATTTTACGTACCGGGAACCAGGTGCTACAAATCTCCCCCACTTATGCTAGACTTCGTCCTCGAAGTCTTCCGCTCGATCCTGAAACAGCTTGGGGTAATGCTCCATGATTTCTTCCACCGGCTCCCATGTCCATTCTGACCCCTTGCGGTGCTGCCATTGCACTTTCACTAGCTCCACCCTCTTGTTCCTTAGATCCTTCGACTTCCAATCGAGGATTGCGACTGAGCGCTCAATGTAATTCAGGCTGTCATCAACCTGTATATCCTCTAATGTCACCACCGCTGAATCATCCACGAGACACTTCCGCAACTGGGAGACATGGAAGGTGTTGTGGATCTGGCTGAGCTCGGCTGGCAGATCCAGCGTATATGCCACCTTGCCCACCCGAGATACAACCGTGAACGGTCCAATGAATCTCGTGCCCAACTTGCCCTGCTTCCTGAATCGAATGACGCCTTTCCAAGGCGACACCTTCAGGAGAACCATATCCCCGACTTGGAACTCCAGGTCTGATCGACGCTTGTCGGCGTAAATTTTCTGCCAACTCTGCACAGTCTGAAGCCTGCTTCGAACCTGCTGGATTCTCTCGGTCGTCTTGAGCACCACCTCGGTGCTCCCCATGACCCTCTAGCCAACTTCACCCTAGCATATCGGGGTCCTGCACCTCTGACCGTACAACATCTCGAATAGGGGACAGTCAATACTCGCGTGGTAGCTGTTGTTGTATGAGAACTCAGCCAAGGGAAGATAGGTATCCCAGCTACCACCGAAATCTA